TGTACCATCGCCAACATACACGTTTTAAACTTGCACATTTCTAACTCGCACCTTTCTAACATGCACATTTCAGTGTAACCTTTTCTCATTTAGTTGTTGAAGCTTCAGGAGTTCAATGAATTTGCGTCTGTCCATCTGATGAATGAATGAATGAATGAATAAATGAATGAAGTGGTTGTCCATAATTTGTAACTATGGTCAGATAGATAATAACTGTAGCGCAATTGAACGGTTTTGCCAAGCAAGCGCACAATGAAGTAATGAAAGGGAAAAATATACGAACAAATATCGCATCATCAACAATGTTTACTTTGCTGGCCGCTATTGAACATTTCATCTCTTTGTGTTTGTGTGTGTGCGTGCCTTTGTTTGTGTTCGTGTATGTATGTGTGCTTTTTTCTCTCTCTCTCTCTCTGTGTATAAACTGTTGCCTCTTTAGTGTTATTTTCAATGAACTATTTTTTTATGGTATTGTAAACATTGTTCTGACTGTTTTAACGTCATTACGGTATTCGTGTTGTTTTTAATTTGTTGCTGTCATAATGAATTGTTGTGGTTGTTGTTGTGTTGTGGTAGTTGTGGTTTTTGTTTCTTTGAATGTTGCAGTCGTTTCTTTTGTTGATGTTTTGAAACAATAATCCCCATGTTCTTGAATGTTAACATTTTCTTTCATTGTTGCACCATATCGGTTTTAATTAACTCTGTTTGTGTTTATTTCTTGTTTGTTCAATTCTTTGTTTGCTTTTAATTTTGTTTAAAATGTTGGCCTGCTAAAATTTTAATTGCTCTTTTAAAGTCGTTGGGTGGTTGCGATGACGAATCAAGTAACCACATGCTGCTTATTCTAACCAGAAAAGATCAACGTTGGTAAGTACAAACACTGCAAAGTTTTATTTTATTCATTCAAATTTTGTTTGAAACTTTCTTTTCTGTTCATTTGAAAATTCCTTTCCAAAAAGTTGTTTCAAGAAAGTTCCACCTATGTCCGCTCCCGTCCGATCGCCATAAATCTTAATTATCCAACCTCCGTGCCTTCTGGGATTAAACTTAGGATATTAATTTTCAAATGTTGGATGAATGTTTTATATTTATGAAAATAATTATGGCGATATTAAAGGAATTGTTGCATGGTTAAATTATTTATTATGAAAATATTATTAACGGTGAAGCGATGATTCAAAAAGTTCAACAAAAAAATTATAATTGACTCAGTAAGTGTAGCAACATTTCAGCGTGCATTAGATTAGAAGATGCCACAAAACTTTTAGTAACGTCATTCGTGAATGAATTTAGCCAGACTCCAGAACATGCTTCGTCAATTCACAAACATCACATTATGTCTCGATGCATTGTGCATGCATGCAGCGCTGCAAAGATACGTCGTACATAATGCACCATACATTAACACATGCATGTATATTTCATGTATAATTCATAATTCATACATGGCGTTATATTTCTTACGACACAAACTTCACGTACGTACCATTCAGCGAGCAGTGACATGCACTCTGAACGCACGCCTCATAAATGTTAGTTTGTGACATGCTAAACAGCATCCAATTATATATTCACGCTGTGAAAGCGTTGAAGACAACATTGATATTTCTTGAAGGCTGTCTGACGTGTGCACATAATGCTAATGTGCATTTGTTTGTTCGTTTGCGTCTGTGTGCATTTGTTTGTTTGTTTGTTTCTCTGTTAGCATATCTTCTCAGAGCCCAACTCTAGAAAACATCATGGAATGTGTGCTAACATTTCAAACAGACAACTAACTACCATTACGTAACATTTGTTGCGGTTGAAATTGTAAAAAAACAAACATGTTCTTTTGTCTCCATGTATAATATATTTCCTTTTCATTGTCGCCACCAAAGTTGACTGTTGTTGTGTTCTTTCATTTTGTTTACGTGGGCTCTATATAAACTCTCACGTCATGTTGTTATTATTGTAAACTGTTGCTTATGGTTCGGCTTAGCAACCACTGAGATACAATTTAATTGCAAAAACCTGCCTTACATATCAACAGTTTTTAACCTCACGAACAAAACGACTAATGTAAACATCTTTTACATTAACGAACGAAGCAAATTTTTATTACAAAGAGAGAACAGAAAAACACAAATGAACAAAGTAAAATTTATGATACTGAAGACAATTCCATTTGAATTACAACTCGGACGCCATATAATGCAGTCCTCTTGAAAAGAAAACGGCGCCCAGCATAGATATAAAATAATAACAATAAACATAAAAAACCTAATAAAACACTCGTATCAGAAACATTATCAACAAAAAAATTAGGGTAGAAAATAGGAAGCGCAAATGAACAGAAACAACAGCATGCCTACAAGATAATCAATGAAGAACAAAAAAGAAATAAAGAGAGAGAATTAATAT